GTCACGGTGTAGGAAGGCTCTACAGAGGGATCCGAGCAGGCTGGATCACTGGGCTGAGGCCAATGGAATAAAGTTCAACAAGACCAAGTGCTAAGTCCTATACTTTGGCCACAACGACCCCTGGCAATGCTACAGGCCAGGGCCAGAGTGTCTGAAAGACTGTGTGGAAGAAATGGACCTGGAGGTGTTGGTCAGTGCTCAGCTAAGCAAGAGACAGCAGTGTGCCCAGGTAGCCAAGAAGCCTGGTTTGTATCAGTGTTGCCAGCAGGAGCAGAGAGATGATTGCTCCCTTGTACCTAGCTCTGGTGAGGATGCACCTTGAGTCCTGTGCTCAGTTTTGAGCCTCTCCCTACAAGAAAGACACTGAGGCCCTGGAGTGTGTCCAGAGAAGGGCAACAAAGCTGGTGAAGGGGTCTGAAGGACAAATCTTATGAGGAGCGAATGAGGGAACTGGGATTGTTTATTTTGAAGGAGGATCAAGGAAGATCTCATGCCTGAGAGGAGGTTGAGAAGGTCAGCTGCTTCTTCTGTGTAACTACTGAAGGAAAGGCCTCAAGTTGTACCAGGAGAGGTTGAGTATTAGGAAAAATTTATTATCCAAAAGAATTGGTTAGGAGTTGGAATGGGCAGCTAAGGCAGATAGTGGTGTCACTCTCCTTGGCAGTGTTCAAGAAATGTTTAGATGTACAGAGGGACATGGTTTAGTGAGGAAATATTGGTGGCAGCTAGACTGTTGGACTAGATGATCTTGGAGGTCTTTTCCAACCTTGGTGATTCTATGATACTTCATCTCCTGCTATGCTGAGAATTGGGCATGGCATACCAGTCTGCTCTCTACATTCTAGTAACTCCTTTCTCTGAAATTAATATTGACATTAACTAACAAATGCTGTTAAAAATGTGACATGCAACAGTGGATGTATGACTATGTAAATTTGGAAAAGGTATTTATACTCTCTGTATTTACCTTTCCATTCACTCTTGTTTCTCTTTCCTGTTTAGATGATAAAAACTCTTCACAGCAAGGGCTCCACGTGTAATTCCAGTTAATGCTGACATCGCAGCCACCTCAAAACTGGTCTAGAGACCATATATGTCATAATATCCTTAAAGTCAAGCTCTGTCAGCTGTCTGACTATAGGAGCTCTATTGACTTTCTAAACACTGAAAGTATATGCAGCCCACAAGTATTGCTATCTATTCCTTTGTTTAACAAGAAAGATTATCCAATGAGATTGCTTTAGTGTAAAACAAGAACTTATGGCCATCTTATGACCATCAGTGTAGACACACCATTTTTTTTGTTTATTACAGTACCTTACAGAATGGAGTGTCTAGTGCAACAATGTACACCAAGAGTCACATTCACTAGGAAAATTTTTTTGATTCTATTTTAATAGGTTAATTGAAAACACAATAACAATTTACCCTCTTGCAAGTGGGTTTTTAACATTATTAAATAGCTTCTGTTGAGCCTTGTGCATATACAGCTCAGACAGCCAAAAAAAAACTACCATTGGAATTATTGTTTCTAGGTACACACAGGTCTGTTGAACACCTTTCAAATATCAAAGGCTTCTCTCCTTGAGCAGCTTCAGACTATTAACAGCAATATTGTACAATCCTCAAATGTGCTTTGTTTTACTGCAAAAGAATACATAAACCAATCTAGAAAGTAGTCTCAGAATCTATGTTTATTTTACTGGTCCCACATATAAAGACATGATATGAAATGTTATCTGATGCATGATATGAGAGCAAATAGTAAATGAAAATCAGAAGACTGTGTATCCAATATAAACAGTATCCAGAGGTACTCAGCAAAGAAAATAAGGCAGGCTGAAAAGAAAACTTACAAGAACCACACAAAAGGTGCTCTGCACAAAGAGTCATCTATAGTGTATGTATTTTAAAATCTTTACTTATTTTGAGAATACAATCATGGATAAGCCTTTTGCTGCCACCTGTACAGAAATCGATTTTGTGCACTGTATTTCAGGACTGTGAAAGTAAGTAGCCTTAGTTGAACAGAACTTTATTAAAACTAGGGACCCACACTTTTCTCAGCAAGTTTTATCCCTGTTCATTCCTGCAGACAAGTTTAACTGCTATTCAGTAGCATTCATTTTAATGTGAGCTATCATTTAAGCTTTGTTCTCTGTTGGGCAATTTTAATTAACTAGTATAGAAACTACTCACAAGGAAAACTTATAAATATTACAGAACTAGCCTGCAGTAGACCGAAGCAGTTGTTTCAAGGCTCTTGAGACTGCTGGTTTCATGAGCATGCTCACATCATCCATCTTGCACTGAGATCACATCTTGTTTGTGAAAACTTCATCATTTCCTGTACGTCTCAGAGGCATGCACTGGAGGACCACTGACATCTGGTGGACAATTCAGTCCTTCCCAACAATACCTGCAGATCCTGGGAAGCAATGAGCACTAGCTGATGTACAATCAAGCTCAAAACTGAACAGCTTCATCAATAATTAGCCCATATCTCAGCACATAAGTGGAAATGTGTGTTCTTAACTAGAACTAACACATTTCAAAAAGAAAAAAGGGGGAAAAAAAATCTAAATCTATCCTACAGGGAGCTGTCATAAATATTGAATTTTACTGTGACTTGATCAGAGTGTATTTTACAGATGGCCTGCCATAAGAACATGCCAGGGAAGCATTAATTTACAAGGTTTACCCTGCGTTTGTTAACCTGGTGGAATTTGTTACACATAAATGCAGATGAACAGCAATATACAACCAAATTCAGTTAAAGCTGTCAGAACATAAACAGTACTGTTAAAAGATTAAACTTATTCTAGATAACACAATTTTTTTTTTTTTTTTTTTTTTCTAAATAGAGCAATTTATTTCATCAAGTCCTTGAAAACAACTGGGTCATGAAATAGAATTATATAAAACTGCCTTTTTTACAAATAAAAAAAATATTGTTTCCTAGGTAAGATTTTTCTCATTAGTGAAATGGAGCAATGAGAATTAAATCTTATTTTGCTGAGGAAATAAAATAATATTAAATTATAAAGAGGAGTCAATAATTCAATAATTTTATCTGCTTTTTTTATATAGCATTATGTAGCAAAGTTGAGAATGAATCTTCTTGGTGCTCAAAGGTATTCATAGTCCACAACCCATCAGCATCAGATATGAAGTGCACTTAGGTTTGTTTGCACTGGTTGAGTATCTCAAGTTATGTTTTGCTTGTTGTAATTATCTACAGCTTATAGATATTTTGAGGTTTTCTAACATTCAGAAAGAATACAGAAAACTTACTAAACAGCTGTCAGAATTCTCAGCAATTCCTCACTGCTTTCTTTCTGCAAAATGATTCAGAGTCTACCTTCAGGTAGATGGGCATTTCTATCTGAAAGTGGAGCTCAGTTCAAACATAATGGAAGTGTTAATACTTACTGAGCCGTGGAAAGTATCAGTGTTTTTCTACACCTTCCCTACAAGATTGTAGCTTTGCAAAAAAATCTGCGTCTATTCCCAAACTGACCTATATTTTTCACTTATCACCAGTATGATAATTCTCTGTAAGTAAAAAGGTTGCTAAACCTTCAACATAGATTACCCAATCAGACTATCTTAAATTGTTTTTACAAAATGCATTGTTATACATACATTATCTAGTTGGCTGTGGAACACTGTGGGCAAACATTTCATAGAGGCTCATGCAATTGCTAATATAGCTGTCACGTGCAAAAACATCCAGCCAGTGCTCATATTAACAAGAGGGTGTATGTGGGTCACTAATATGGAGAAAACCGCATCAGGCCACCACAAGAGCAAGATAGAAGGAGGGGATAGGAATGCAAGTAGGACACGCGCACTGGGATGGCTTGGCATGACTCAGCCAGGCCTTGTAGCTGAACTGGGTATCTGGCTGGGACAAAGGCTGCCCAAAAGACATTGAAAAGGCAAGTATCAAGTTTTTCACTCTCATCTATGTATCAAGAGAAGTCCAGAATCTGTTGACTGCTGATGCCTCTAAAGAATTTCACTCTAGTGGCCCACAGATCATGGATATTTATATGCCTTTCAGGTCTTTTCCTGCATTACTGCATGAACAACATACTGGGAGAAAAGCGGCTGTAGAAGGCTGCTTAATAATACATTCTTAAAGATCCAACTGCATATCAATAGACATTCATCAGTACAGAGATATTCAACTCATACATGAAAGGCACAGAGCCTACGTGGCACTCAAATCCTACTCTGAGCATTTAAACTAAGTACTATCTTCAGTATTTTAACAATGCTGGTTTCTGCATAGTAATGCATTTTACCCACAGTGAAAAGCTGTGAAAACTGAAAACACTCCTGCAGCTATTAAATATATTATAATCAGGTCAGCTACTAGGTAAAGGAGATAGAAACACTAACCACTTCTACAAAACATTATCACAGCCCTTATACCTCCACACCTGAAAAGAAAGTATCTTCCTTCCAGTACCTAAAGGAGCCTACAATCAGGAGCAGAGCCAACTCTTTGAAAGGGTAGATAAAACCATTTCCCCTTGTCCTGCTGTTAAGTTGAAGGAGGGAAGATTTAGGTTGGATGTCAGGGACAAGTTCTTTACTATGAGAGCGGTGAGATGCTGGAACAGGCTCCCCAGAGAGGTTTAGGGAGCCTATAAACAGGAGGGGAGTCAACTCTTTGAAAGGGTAGATAACTGCAGGACAAGGGGAAATGGTTTTAAGCTGAGGGAGGAGAGATTTAGGTTGGATGTCAGGGGGAAATTCTTTACAGAGAGAGTGGTGAGATACTGCAACAGGCTGCCCAGATGGGTTGTAGATGCTCCGTCCCTGGAAGTGTTCAAGGCCAGACCGGATGGGGCCCTGGGCAGCCTGGTCTAGCATTAAATGGGGAGGTTGGTGGCCCTGCATGTGGCAGAGGGGTTGGAGATTCATGATCCTTGAGGTCCCTTCCAACCCTGGCCATTCTGTGATTCTGTTGTGGATGGCCCATCACTGGAGGTGTTCAAGGCCAGGTTGGATGGGGCCCTGGGCAGCCTGATTTAGTATTAAATGGGGAAGTTGGTGGCCTTGTCTGCAGCAGGCGACTTGGAGCTTGATGATCCTTGAGGTCCCTTCCAACTCAAGCAATTTTATGAGTCTATGATGATTCTTTCTTCTGTTGCCCTCTCCTCCATATATATTTTCTGCAAATACATCATCATTGTCAATCAAATTATACAACTGCAGGAGATGATTACTGTGACAAAGTTCTAATTCACAAACATAACCTTTCTTATACGCTTATATTTTATTGGGTATAGTCTACTGGGGGCATAGAAATGGCCTCCACTTGCCACCAGGGGCAAACAGATCTAAAAATAATTTTGTCTGGTTCTAATTGATAACATCATGTTGGCAAATCTCTTCCGAAGACACACTAAAGCAAAATAAGCTATTCCTGCTAGCATGCTGACCATCAGGGTGGTGCCAAGAGCTCTGGGTGCTCTCTTCTTGGCCACTCGAAATGCAGTTGGCAAAACTGCTGAGATTAATATATTGTTGACGTGTCCTAAAACTTTGTGAAATGCTTTTCTCTTCAGGACACGCTCATAATATGCTTCTAAGTTCGGCCGTTTTCCGTTTCCCCAGTTTCTTCTTGCTAATCCAAGAAATTTCAACCGATGTAATGTGACAGCAAGTGATACATCTGCCAAACTGAAGAATTCACCACAGAGCCAAGGCTGACTTCCATCTTCTAATCAGAGATAAAACATAAAGAATTAAAAGCTGAAGAGGTACAAACACAAGTAGAAAACTGCATAGGCTAGTTCAGTGCTACTTCAAAATGCTAGCAAACAACACTAACACTGCAGTTATGCTAGGATCTGAACATTTTACCAATCCTCATTGATCACATTCTCTCTCCATTGTTCACACAATCACATAAAGTCTAAGGTTCAGCATCCTAGCCTGCACGTAAAGGAAGAAAGAACCACATTTCAGGTTCAGAAATTGAAACCCACAGCAAACATTTATTTTTCTTGAGTGCATTTCTCAAATCTGAAGTAACATAAACAGGAGCAAAAAAGGAGGAAGGCTGCTGAGCTTTTGTTGAAAAGCTATTATTTGCCTTCAGAATTTATCGTCTTGTCTGAAGTGAAATATCTCTATGGTAGTTCATTCAAGAGCTTCTAGCTTGCTAAAGATTTTCAAGTAAAAAAGAAACAAATTAGATGACTAACACGTACCAAACACACCAGTTCCAAAAGAAGAGAGTTTCTTCTTCTGTGCCTCCTAGACCCAAAACCATGTTGTCTACATCAAGATGTTTCAGAAATGATCATTATCCAAAACCAAGTCAAAGCAAGGAGGTCAATCTTCTTGAGATGACTTAGCAGGCACTGCTCTAACTACACTGATATGAAGATCATCGGAAAGGCATATCTGTACTGACTTGTATAAGGAGCTTTTGAAACCTAGGATATGAGATCTAGCTGCTAGTGAGTACTCTGCTCTAGCTTAGATTTCAAACAGGACTATGCTATTCCCTCCCTATCTACACATTTTTGCAGTTTTTCCCTCACAGAAGACATGCAAAAACACTGGCATGAATGTTCAGCAGCACCTCTGAAGAAAAAGTGAAATTCTGCAATATCCTTTGAAGTTAATTATCACCTGAGGAAAACACCCCACAAAACAGGACACTTTTGGTCCACTTCAACTAGCTATACAGATCTGTAAGAAAGGTCTCTAAGTCTTTCCTGTACTGTGGAAAGGCCATCTGGGAATTAACTCAGTGCATTAAGATGATAGAAAGGAAGACCAAATAAGGTAACCTGTGTGAAAGCCACTGCAGTAGCAGCAGCAATGAAGAATCTAAGCAGTACTAAGAGAAGCAAATGCTCAGAGATCAGTCAGCAACTGATAAAAGCACTGTTCACAAGCTCCCAAAATGTCAATACCTCAGACAGAATTAAAATAGGCATTTAATAGTCATATGTTTTATTAAATCCTACAAAGTCTGCCAGTTTTCATAAGCTCATCAATATCGTACAAGTTGACTCACTGGAAAGCCTGTGTAGCACAGAAAGTAAAGGGAATGGTGACAGGGTGTTGGCTGAACAGATTTCCACCATCCTGTGTGAGCTAAACCACTTTCGGCAACTCTTTCACTGTTGATTCAGTAGAAAAGTTAACCTAGATTTTGTGGCCAAAAAGGCCAATGGCATTCTGGGGTGCATTAAAAAGAGCGTGGCCAACAGGTCGAGGGAGGTGATCCTCCCCCTCTACACTGCCCTGGTAAAGCCTCATCTGGAGTACTGTGTCCAGTTCTGGGCTCCTCAGTACAAAAAAGACAGGGATCTCTTGGAAAGAGTCCAGCGGAGAGCCACAAAGATGGTGAAGGGCCTGGAGCATCTCCCCTATGAAGAAAGGCTAAGTGATCTGGGTCTGTTTAGCCTTGAGAAGAGAAGACTGAGAGGGGACCTGATCCAGGTCTATAAATATCTAAGGTGTGGGGGGCAAAGTGGCGAGGCCAGACTCTTTTCAGCAGTGTGCGGAGACAGGACAAGGGGAAATGGACAGAAACTGCAGTGGAGGAAGTTCCACACAAATGTGCGCAAGAACTTCTTTGCGGTGAGGGTGATGGAGCACTGGAACAGGCTGCCCAGGGAGGTTGTGGAGTCTCCTTCTCTGGAGATATTCAAGACCCACCTGGACGCCTACCTGTGCCACCTGGTGTAGGGATCCTGCTTTGGCAAGGGGGTTGGACTCGATGATCTCTGGAGGTCCCTTCCAACCCCTACGATTCTGTGATTCTGTGATTTTCAACTGCTTTTTCAAATCTACTGTCTTACTGATAACCCATAATTATTATAACAGCTATTTACGGAGCCAAATGCACCATTACTGACCTGAGCAGATGCAGCTGATACTGACTGATGCTTCATGCAGATCCCAGTGAAGTCAGAGGAAGAATTTTTATTAGTATTACTGGGAGTTGAACCAGAATCCCAATAAGATGACTACTGCCATTCAAACAAAACTCAACTTTCATTTAGACAGATGGCAGGTATACACTTTCAAGGTTTTCAAGAGAGCAGGCTTGTGCAATGATTAAAATACTCATCTAAATTGCTAATTCTGAACATGCTACAGATATCAGCACCCTATGTCCTTATGGTATTTAAATGAGACCCTACTTTTAAATAAATTGTGTTTACCATTAAAGTCAGGAGCATTATAATAAACTGAGTTCCACAACTACAACATCAAGAATAAAATTCTGTAGTTACAGCTATTCTTGTTTTGTTTACAAGATATTGTAAAATTGTGCAACTAATTATATTCACAGTATGCTGAAATGTGATCAGGCACTCAGATTTCCATTCACTGACAGCAGCAGTAAACTGAACGAGTATTTTAAACGGTATTAATCTGTTCCGTGAAGTCAGATCAGTGTATGCTAAAAGTATCACTTTGGATGTATTTAAAACAGGCCCATAATGGTGCTGTAAACCGCTTTACTCAGTTACCCCAAACATAAAAATCAACAGGATTTAGCAAGAATAATTCCTTACCTGGTGTTTCTTCATTTCGACGCTGCAATTCAGTCTCAACCTGATCCAAAACCTTCTCCAGTTCATCCAGTATTTTCTTTAGGTATTTTATATTATCGTGATCCAGCAGTTTAGACTAAACATACATACATGTTAGTTTCTTAATGTACAGAGTTCATACTTCTGTAAGATAAACTTCAACTTAAGATACTACAGTGCTTATTCATAAAACGTGATTATTTTCTCCACATAACTTTTGGGTACTCCTAACAATTCAGATACCACAAGGAGTTATATTAGAGCTGTTAGATAGCACAGTTTGCCTCGTCTTGTATTGCACTCAACATTCCAACACCAGTGTTGATATCTACTTACCTATGAAGTCAGTGGAACCAGTCCAACACTTCAGCACACACTTGAAGCGTGTGGCTGATTTGGGGGATAAACTGCTTCACGCCTTGTAGGGTTAAACCACTGCATGACTATACTGGTAATGACAGGTGAAACAAATGTTTATATAATGACAGAAAAAATCTGACACTAACAAGCTGATAATAAAGGGCTGGAATACAAAATGTTTTCTTACTTTAAGGCGCTTCTGTTTTGCTATGTAGGCATCTTGAAGGTCTGGATTTTCTTCTGCAAGCTTTTTCAACTCTGATTCTGTATTACTTATTTGACCTGATACAAAAAAAAAAAAAAAAAAAAACAACATTAGCTATCAATCCACTCAAACAATTAGCTATCCAAATCCACTCCAATTCACAGAAATTTATTAGTAGTGTGTAAAAATATCACACCAAAAAAAATGAGAAGTGGTACTTCAATGATGGTAGACGATATCACCTTCTATGATATTACATATTCAGCATAGCAGTGATAGTCAGTGGTCTAGACCGGCTGCTAAAGTGAGCTTAAGCAAGTACTATCTGTTTCAGTATGATCCGATATGAAGTATAATTTGAAGCAAAAGGTATAGTTCACAAAAGGTACAGGCCAATTTTCTTGTAGAGAAGTCTAACAGTCTGAAAGCAGTTCTGAAAAGTTAAACTGAAGTAATGATCATTAATAAGCTGAACGAGGATTCCTCATGCAACTCTGTGGCTGTACATGTAGAAAAGTCCTCCAGGTAGAATATTGACTTAAGGGAAATCAAGGAATATTTTACCTTGATTCTATCAGATCTCTACTTCATCCTTTTGCTGTGTTATTTGCACACAGGGTTTAAACTGAGCTTTAACGATTTCCATTTGTCAGATGAATACAGGTTACTTCCTTCCAGTTCTATTCCCTGGAAACTTCTTTATAAACATGAACAAGATCAGAAATTAAAATATTTACACCTGTCATAGCTGTCATTTTGTTTTGTGCAGCATATTTTCCATCATTAGGAATATTAATTCTATAGACATCTCAAAAGCGACACTTCCTCATTCCCATTTTCAAATGCTAACAGACTACAAAACAAATAAAAAGTATATGCAAACATTACTGAGTACTGAAATTAAAATCAGAAATATATGCTCAACGTATTCTGCTTAAGACACACTAAAGACACAAGACGAACGTAATCCAGCATCTTATTATATGATATGCACTCAGATCTATAACAGTACGTACTACGGATTCTGCTTGTAGCATAGGCTGGAATCATGGAGTCCACAGTTAACTCAGGGTGCAGAATACAGCCGTGTGTGTAGGCATCCATAGGCAAGGAGTCTAGAAGCTCCCTGTAATGTTGCACCCTTGGATAATACATGCTTCCTTCTTCCGGCATTAGTCTTGGCACTTCAGCTGCAATACAAAATTAAAGTTAAAAACAGAAGAACCACATGACTGAGAAGAATACTTCAAAAGTTACCTGTTAGTCCAGCTACCATGAATGACACAACCATTAAGAGCTTTGTTATTCCCCACTGTTATTGAATACCTTCGCAAAATGTACACATATATACTTTGGTCATTTGAATATTCCCATTCTAATGCAGCATTCTATACAAGCATTTACTTAAGAGGCCTTCAAACCAGCAAAGCTGATTCAGCACCTATGTAGTATTTCTAGGGACAGGTGATAGTGGCACACAAGCCTTTCTCACTCTGACAACAGAGCTTCAGATACGCTGCTACACCTGAAACCTTACTACAGCTGCAGTGCTGTGAAAATTGAATACTGCCTTGGAGAAAACCAACTCATAGCATCATTGTAAGTACTCCTGCATGCAACACTGAGTTTTACCCTGCCCTCAATCTATCCACGCTTTCCCCTTAATTGACCAAAATACCAGTGTAAACTGCCCATCATGTGAAGTTTTCTTCATGCCCTGGAAATTACAGCAGAACCATTGAACCCCTGAAACACAAAAATGCTCTCTCTTCCAATCCAAAAAAAGAAAGTCATTAATTTTCTTCAAAATTGAGAAAGGCTATTTTCCAGTAACATAGACACAAACAATGTCAAAAGCAACCATATGCAAGTATTTTCTTCCTACTTTTTACCATTTTGTTCCATTTTGTCTCCAAAAATAACAAATTTGTTCTACTTCCTTTTTTTTTATCCCCATGATTATTCTGGAACTGACCCGCAATGTCCATTATTCTTTCTCTCTTGCAGAAAAGTAGGAGCTGTCTGACAATGGCAGTTGTGCAATTCTGTTGAATACAGCCTGTTCCAGGGCAGCCTCAGAGCAGAACTAGCACAGTGCTGTCATTTTTCTACTTCTCTGTGCTACCAGAATGGGTAAGAAAGACAGCAGCATGTTTATTTACAGATCCTCATGAAGGTACTGGAAGATTGGACCAGACCACATTAAAGGAAGACATTTTGTCCCATACTACCCAGCACCAGCACAGCCCATTTATTTGCAAGATTATAAAGATTTTGCCATAAAGAACAAAACAAACACAAAGCAATACAGATCCAGCTCTGACACTGCTGCATGATACTTGTATATGTGAGAAAGACAACAGACTAAAACACCTATAGGATTACCATCTACAAACGTTGCTTCAAGATAATCAATGATCTGCGTTGCATCACAAATAATATTTTCCCCATGGATGAGGACAGGTACTTCTCCAGATGCATTTAAGCGCATAAACCACGGCTCGTTGTGTTCACTCAAGGGCAGATTGACATCATGTTCTTCACACGTCAGTGCTTTCTCAGCAATGGCTAGGCGCACCTGGAAAGATATGACCAGATTTGGGAGAAGAGAAGGCTCTGGGAAGACCTCATTGCAGCCTTCCAGTACTTGAAGATAGTGTATAAACAGGAAGGGGAACAGCTGTTTATGAGGGTGGATGGTAATAGGACAAGGGGCAATGGTCTTAAACTGAGACAGGGGAGGTTTAGGTTAGATATTAGGAGGAAGTTTTTCACACAGAGCGTGGTGACGCACTGGAACAGGTTGCCCAAGGAGGTTGTGGATGCCCCATCCCTGGAGGCATTCAAGGCCAGGCTGGATGTGGCTCTGGGCAGCCCGGTCTGGTGGCTGGTAACCCTGCACATAGCAGGGGGGTTGAAACTCGATGATTATTGTGGTGCTTTTCAACCCAGGCCATTCTATGATTCTATGATTTAACAGATGGGAATGCAGCGCGCACAGCCCAGCTCCTCTCGGCACGCCGGCTCCTGCTGTGCGTGCCAAGCCCCGCACTCTGCCCTGCTCGTCCCCAGCGGGCTCGGCGGACACCCTCTGCACACCCGCACCTCCGCGCCCGTCCACTCAACCTGCAGGCCGCGCCCGCCGCGGAGCCGCCCTTCAGGCGATGCGAGGCGGCTCGCCCCCGCCTTCCCCGCCGCCGCGGCAGCCTCGAGCCCCCTCCCCGCCGCCCTCACCTTCTGCGAGGAGAAGGACTGCGTCCAGTGGTACAGCACCAGCGGCGCCGCCGCCCCGCCGGACCCCGCCATACCCGCCCGCTGCTCCGGGAGCCGGCGCGACGCGGCCCGCCTAGGCACGGCGTGGGGATGCTGCTGTCCGCAGCGGAACGAGGGGGCTGGCGGGGGGCCGACGCTGCCTACGGGGAAGCCGGCCGCAAAACCGGCTACGACATTCCCTGGGGTGGTGCGGGAAGATGGATGCGCAGGTGGAAAGGTCACGTGGCCTCTCAAAAATTTGGGGGAGGGGTTGTTTGCTTTTCTTGAGCAGGGATTTTGATGGTGGATTTCAGGGACGTCAGCATCATGCTGTCAAGGGAAAGAAAAAAAAAAAAGAAAAGAAAAGAAAATACCAATATGTTACCAGAGATCAGATCCTGAGTAGAACTCCAGGGGTAAAATGCTCCATTGCCAAATGCCCCTCATTTACATTCACAGAAATAAAGATACAAATGTAAAATAATACACGTTGCTTTTGCCCCCAACTATCCTGTCAATCTCAAGAGAGAAGGCTGCTCCGTTTTGGTTTGGTCTAAAAAAATTGAACTATTCTGCAGTGAGGGGGAAGGGGTTGTATGTGAAGTCTTGGGGAGCATATGATGAAAAAAAACCCAAACAGCTTCCATCGTCAGAAAGTGCCCCACCTGCACCAGTGCGGAGATGCAGTCACCGATCACACCTCAGGGTGTGCTGTGCTCTGGCTGCGCCAGCTCATGGCCCCCCTGACATGAGCCATTTCTATGCACCAGGTGATGACCTGAACGAGCAGAGCTGTGAGAGCTACACCCTAACACTGAGTACAGCTGGAGCCTCAGGGCCTCTCACACCAACTGTTCCTGTATGCCAAGTGATGACCTGCCTGAGCAGTGTGTTTCAGAGCTATATCCCAGTGCTGAGTACCTTCAGTTTTGTGGGAAAATTTGACTAATGTCAAGCAAGGAAATGAATTTAAATCCACTGAAAGAGGCAACAAGTCTTATAAGTAAAAAGGGATGAACACACAAAGCCTATATTTGGAGAAAGTGAGGCCTATGATTAAGGTTACCAGATCAACCGCTTGCAAGCAGTCTGCAATCAAGTACAAATTGTGATATTTGACAAACTGTTTTCTAGTTAACATTATAAAACACAAGTAATATGACTGTAATAGATTATATGTCCATGTATGTATCAAAATCCCCCACCATAAAAAAGCTTGGATTAGTAAGTACTGAATCTCTTTAATTGAACATATTACATGTATTTAAATGCTTTACATTTCCATAGTATTTAAAACAAAATGAATTAATAAGAAATTATGTAAAAACAAATAATAGTGATGTTTTCATTTTATTCATAAACTGGGTTCTCAGACCCTAACATTTTAAAGCTATATGCAGTTTGTATTTCACAACCAACAGCAACACAGGAATCTGTAATGTCCCCATTGAGTACTGACTGTATTTCTGATGACATAAGGTCTCTCTTAGAACATTTCCATGTCACTTTTTTGCTGGAGAATCCACTAGAAGAAAAAAAAGTTTTTATTGCTTGGGCATTTTTTAGAAAAAATCCAAAAACACTAAAATGTTCACTTCAGAGGTGTATGTGTGTTCTAACACAGTAAGGAAGAAAGGAACAGGGAAAGCAGTATTTCCTACTTCTGACCTGTCCTGTAACAGACCACCTGCGATCATATTCAGGTATTTCTTGTTCCTCAAATCAGAGCGTGTCAGAGCGCGGTTATGCCACAGGCTGCTGGCAGATAGCAGGCAGGAGTGCCCGAGGCAGGGCTCCTTCCTCCCCGCAGCTTTGCACGAAGCTGTTAGCAGAACTGACCACACGAGGCCTCCCTTGTCTACGAATAGGAGGCAAAGCAACTTCTCCCTGACAGAGATGCTGAGGAAGAGATGCAGCTGATTCCATTCACTTCTGAATTAACACCTGTTTACGCACGTATGTTCTCTCCCAAGCCCTCTGCCTTCTGATATGTGAAGAAAAGCAAGCAGAAGTGCCAGATTATGAAAAAGCTCTAAGTATCCTGGAAAAAAATCACCAAAAAGCCTTAGTCCAAATGTATTTGTATAGACCTCCAAATTTGTACAGAATTGAAAGGTACTTTTTAATGAGTAAATATGATAAATACGAAAGGAGCACAATGGACAACAACCCCAAACTGCAAGTCCTTCTTGGTTCTCTGCCATTGAAAGCAGGCTGTTAACGTCGTCTGACAAACAGGTTTTCTTTCCATACTGATAACTGTGCTCTCTTTTATTATATGTCCTCTCCTGGGACTTTTTTAGTATTTTGTATACGTATATGCATATATATAAAATATGTATATGTAGTATTTATATGTACACATACACCTCTGTAATGTTTTTTGTGCCCATATTTGTACATGGTGAAAATAACATTTACAGATATTACCAATAGATAAACAGTATCAAAATCAACTTACTACATAATAAGCAGATGTATAAATTAGGTCAAGATTTCTTCCGTACTTCAGCACTCCCTCATATTGTCAGGAAATGACTAGGCCAGATGTGCCTTTGTAGTGACTGCTACAAGTAAAAAATGATCAGTTCTTTCTATATGTTCAAAATTAAGTTTGATTAGTCTGAAGGAAAAAAAATCTCTTGCTTTTTCTCTATGCAGAGCCATTATGTGTGAAAAGCAGCTGGAATCTGCATATCCATTGTTAGCAGAATCACGGATTCAGTTTCAGGTGCAGAACTGGCAAGGCGGACAATGGTGCAGGAGTTAATATCGGTTTGGAGAATAAGACAGATTCTATTCTGGACCTTCTGTCATCAGTATTTATTGGCTAAAGCCCAGTTGCAGACTCTGCATTACTGGTGATGACGTGAGTCAGAAAGAGCATAGCACTGAATTCAGATACACAGGTGAGATTTAATATTGACACGAGAACTGTTGTTAAAAATTTAATATGACTGATGACTGACTTTTATGTGACTTCTAATATGACTGATGAATTAGACATGCAACTATTTAGAAACAGCGAGAACACAGAGCAAAGATAAATCTTGACAGCCACAGTTCAAATGTCCATGCCCTAACATAAGTGTGTGTAAAAGGGATGAGATGTGTGTGTAGGAACGATTCTTGATAGTTGATGTGTATTCTTAACAAGCATTACTGAGTTGCAATTTCACATCCAACAAATCCAGCAATCAACAGAATTTATTTACTCATTTTCAAAGTTACTTGCCACACCATACGAGGTTTTCTTCAGGGATTTCACAACATTCTGATGAATTTTTCCCTAAATACTACAGTCCATCATGTTCAGTGCAGAAGGAGTTTCAGAAAACCACACTTCAGAAATACTGCTTAATAATTATTTTTTTAATAAAATTATTCTTAGTAGTTGTACAAGAAGCCTACTACAAAATAATTAGTAGTAGTGATGGCATACATTTCTAGTTCTTGAGACATAATAAAAGTTGCTATTGTTCTGTTACTATATTAAATTCAACAGTCTTAACAGTTTGAATAAATTTTTTTCCTGAAATTTCAGTTTTTTAAATCAAGCACAGAAATACATTTATTATGTTTATATGAAGGAAAAAATGACAGTTTTTTTTTAGGAATAACACTTGAAATCTTGCTATTACCATTGCAGCTGTATCCAATCTTTAATTTCTCAAGCTTTTGTACTCACCATACCTTCAAATTATAAAATCTAACATATCAGTCACATTCAAATAATAAACGTGTTTATGCATACTTGTCTGTTCTTGTTGTGTCTCTCTGTGCATGTAATATGTTGGCCAAGGAACTTGATTGTTATTGAGCTATTAGGAACAGTTCTGCAAATCAATCTCTCTGAATGAAGCACTGAATCACTGAATGGCCAGGAGTGGAAAGGACCTTAAAGATCATCTAATTCCAATCCTCCTGCCACGGGCAGGGTAGCTTCATATTCTCAGCTTTCCTTGCATCAACTTAAATGTGATTACTTGCATTAGTAAAAGCTCTATTTGAAAGTTCTCCTGTGCACTCTTCCTTTGTAGCATCCAGGTGATGATTTGTATTCTGCTGTTAATCTAGCAGTGATGACAGTTTGTTGAGCAAAGACTGCCATCATGATGGAACAGCACTACCAAGCACACTAAGTTTTGGCTGCCCGAAAATAAAATAAAATAAAATAATCACATACTAACACAGCACAAACTATTAATGAAAAAATTAATATCTTAGAGCTATTGCCTGCAGCCAAAACCAGAACATTCAGTTTTGAACTAGTAAAATAGATTATCTAGATGCTGAAACAAGGATTTATATTTATTTCAATGGGTCTTAAGCCAGTTCAAATTCTAATGCAATCACACTGTAACTAGGACAACAATCAAACATGGCCTTGAAGAAATCTGAGGGAACAAGCTCCAAGTTTCAGAATCTTCAAAAATCTCTACAAACACTTAGTTACATGTTTTATTGAAAATATGGTCAAAACTGTCAATTTACGTTATAGAATGAGCTTAAGCAAAACAATTGATCTTTTTCAACCAACTCTTTACAAAAATATTTTTAAAGTACTTGAAAGGGTTATCTTGAACGTCCAAACATTAGGTTGAGAAATAGAAAAACAGCTGCCAATAAGGAAGAGCCATTCCTCATAACATCATTAATCATTAAAATAACGCAAAAACACCATTAAATATTTCCTTTAAATAAGGAAATTCTTATTTCTTCAGCCTTAATTCTTGCTGTTCCTTCATTACCTTTGAGCAAGCCTGGACTGAAAAATGTACAGTAACAGGCAAAATATTTCTGTTGGCAGCCTTGAAACTGCACTTTAGGAGATTTCAGACATCCCTGATAGATGAAAAAGTTCTTTTAAAAGCCTAGGACACCCTCTGCTCTGAGGCACAGTACACCAAAGCAGGAACAAGGACAGACAGAGGCTGTTCTGCACTAAGCCAGAGCCTCCCTGCGTCACCCACCCAGCAGGAAAACCACAGGGGCTGGCAGGGCAAGGCCGTTCAGAATTTCTCCTCTAGGGACAGGAGCCATAAACACGGACAGAATATTTTGCCTTCCAGAGCAACACTTCAATTTTTTATTCCAAAATCCCATAAATTATGCCCAGCGTTGCAGTGTCTTTTCACAATTGTAGTACAACAGAGACAACTGGGAAACTGTAATAGTCAGCTTTGATATTATATACTTACTATATGTTCTTCATTTTGAAAAGCTGAATATTATGTTTCACTTCTTACTACATCTGTATCAACCAATCAGAATTTTTATTCCTGATATTTCCCAGTGGAGGGCCCTGTGCATGCATGACTTACAGTAGTACCAACCCTCATTTCTATGCCTGACAAAGGAAGACTCACAGTTCCTGTTACACAATCTCCATTCTCTTCAGTCGGAGAGCAGAATCCTATTTCGTCAGGCCTTTAGATTAGATTTCTTTTCCGCTTTTTTCTTCAACTTAACAAAACTGCTATTCCATATTTGATTGATAATTTTTGAGGTTTTCAGCCCCTTTACAAAGTGCTGATGAAAAAGCACAAAAGAAGTGGATTATTAGCTGATACCATTTAGTAAACCCTTAATTTGA